TCCCCTCAGTTTCTGAGGAACTAGGGTTGCAGGTTTCCTGTTTCCTTTACCAAATCATGCGAGTGAACCACTCTGCTGAGCTTTCTATGCTCCTGTAAGTGTTTTCAACTTGGCCACAACTCAAACACCTTTTTTTAAAGCTGCAAAACAAATGGATCAATTGTGTTGTCATGGGATGAGGAGGAGGTTTTTTGTTTAAAATGAAAGGGCACAAACGTGAAATCCAATCACCTCAGAAGGTAGAAATAGTACTATATATTCCAGCTACCCCCAACATTATCAGTGTTTATGGTTTTATAGCTACTGTTTAAGCGACCTCTTTTTGAAGTCTGCCCCCCCAGCTCCCAGTCCAAAAGAACCATAAAAATTGTACTTAACTTTTAGGTTGGGTCAATCTTAGCAAAACTACGAAGTCAGAAATCCTCTTTCAACTCAAACTGTTTCATTAGCTTAAGAATGTATGAACATATACTGCATCCACTGGACTTTTTATCCCCCTTCCTTAGGTTTCAAAGTATAATTCAAGCATTCAAAGTATAACTGAAGGTGTCACATTAAACTTCAATCCTTCACTAATAATGGGTGAAAATTCAGCTCAACTCCCACTCCCTTCACAAACCTTCTTGTCCTATTGTCAGGGCAAACTCACTTGAAGTAGCTCCACAAAAATCAGGATCTCCTCTTCCTCCGGCACTTTGCTGTCACCTAGCACACTTGACAGGGTCCACTTCAGAGGCTTCAAAATGAAGACTCCCACACCCCAGGAGATCCAGCTGCTGTCTACACTGGCTATGAAGTCCGACTCCCTCTGCAGTTTGCCACGTCTGCAAAGACAGACAGCGCACACGTTACTGAACTGAACGCAGCTAGCCCATGCTCGGGGCAGGCATCAGGTCACACAAGTCTGTGGAGAAGCATCTTGGGAAGCCCTGCGCACTTTGCTCACAGTTCGGCACCACTTCCCCAGGACTGTCTCGCCCTGGCTGGGGCACCCATGTGAATCTCTGCTTCCTACATATCAATTTGCATATACAAGGACTTCCTTTAGCCACAAATTATCATGCTGATCTTCTGAGATTACAGGAATTCCCCCATCTTCCTCTCTTTTGCGATGCAACAGAAAATGACACAAATAAAAACAGAGGTTAGCTGCCTGCAGCTTTCATAGCTGGCAAGTGGGCACAGAAGTCTGTCAGATGCACAAAGGAAGCAAAATGGAGTAGCTAAAAAAATCACTGTTTTCCTTCAGCTTGTCCCAACAGTCGCCACTGTGTGTTATTTTAACACTAGCGGGCGCAGCCCCCTGGGGTGCCTCGAGATCCTTTCAAGGGTGCTATGCCATATTAAACTGGATCATAAACAATACACAGACTGAACAATATAAACGTGTCAAACAACACGACTGGCACGATTTTTCCGTTAGGGACCCACGGCGGCGTCACGGACCCACCCCCACCCTGCTGCGGCCGCCGCAGCACAACTCTGCCGCTTCCCCCCG